ATTTTTTTTGCCCACTGTAAAAAGTCTGCATACAAGCCAAGTGACCCATCAGGCCAGTGCTTATCTCCAGTTTCTGGAGAGTGAAGCAACTAGGAGTTTTCTACTCCCCAACCCCTGGATACTAGCCCATCGCAGGGTTACCCCGGGCATTAAATTTGCTGTACCTATTAATTCTATACACCTGGGTGGAGCAGTGTTTCTGCCAGAGTGCGCCATTGCAGGAATCCTGCGTTACAATCAGAGATGGCCCCCAGAAAAACGAAAAAAGGGCCAATTTGGCCCTTTTCTTTTACAAGACTGCAGGCTTGACACAGGCATAATATTTTAAAGCCATCCCAGGGCTCGAAATTGTGATCGATACGGTCGCCAATGCAACAAGCCTTTCATCCTTGGTGACCAAAAATTCTGGTTTAGTCACCAAAATTCTTGGTTTTCACCAGTCATGTGATCAAAACTAAAAATCGTAACCATTGAATAAATAAATTCAAGAATCTGGGATAGGATAGATGATTGCTATATAAACAACCTCACCAAGAATCAGGTTTCTACTTTTTTTCATTCGCCCCGTTATTCGCAGTGAGTCACCCAAATATATAGAGCTTTGTATGGAGATGCCATGTTTGTGCCCTAAGGAGGGGCACAAGCATGGTGGCCGTAAAATAACAAAAACATCTGTCGTTGAGTTTTGCTTCTTCTAGTGTAAGCACCGTTTATTTAGCAAAAACTAAAGCGATAACTCATCTTTTGACCTACGTGAGAGTCTTTACGGGGCGCCATTTTCATGTCACGCAACGCAAAAGTTTGGAGTGTTCTATTACAAAAAGAAGAACTCTGTCGAGCTAAAACATTGTCAAACATCACGTTCCTACAGGGTCTTTTATCTGATGAAACTAAAACCTCAGAAGGAAAGATAATTTCTAATTTTGGAATTTGACTGCATCACATGAAAACCAAGAATACGGCAAAATGGCAACTACATTTCTCTGTGTTGACGATCAATAACGGTTATTTTGTCACACATTATGTCCTTCTATAAAAATCATATTGAAAGATCTTTGCTTCTAAAACAGTCAACATAAAAGAAGTCAATCTGTCCTTTTGCTTTGCCGTATTGATTCTCTCATATCGGAAAACTTCCAAATGGCTGACCGTGTTTGAAATTGCCCTATAGTGCATTGCAAACCCCTGATCATTGACTATGTCATATAGGCCTAAGGATTGTACTCTTGTAATGCACAGATTCTTCATACTAGTATCTGATTCAAAAGAAACTTTATTGAGAAGAAACCCTCCAAAAAGCACTTACTATTAAATTTTATCATAGATCTTAATAAACTGCTTTATTTTCCTTGGTACCCTGATACATTTTTTCCTTCTGTAGCTTTCAATTTAGTGGCCCCTTTCCTAAAAAATTGGCCCCTAAAAAAGATCTTCAGCGGCCACTTTGGCCCTCAAGTAAAATTTTCTGGCTGAAACACTGGTGGAGAGCGACACTATGAGAGTAAAGTTTCTTGCCTAAGAACACAACACAATGTCCTTGGCCTGGTCTCAAACCCGAACCACTAGATCTGTATCAAGCGAACTAACCATGCAACATATAATGGAGAATTTTTAATCGAAAATACAGGTAAATTCTGTGCACTGAAGGTGTGCAATGGGAAGCTAAAAGTTGATTATTTTTAGATGGAGTTGAGGACCTTTCAAATCTATCCTCTTTAAATTTGTCAGGCAACATGATAAGAAGGTAAGAGAAAGGAAACATTTATGTTGTACCGCTCTTAGAATTTTGATATCACAGTCTGTATTTAATGAACAGCATCTGTTTATTGTGACTGTAAAAGTTACTTGCTCATGTACATCTGCAGTGTACATAAATTATGTATTGCAAGTCTGTTACAGTGTAAGTAGATTTGTAGCAGACATGAAAATGACGTGTTGAGAACAGTGAATTTGTTTGGTTGTGTCATATAGCGCATATATGTGTAGTGGATGGGCATCTTTTGTAGAAAATAATGTATATGTACACATCCTGCTATGCTATGTTCAAAGAATAGTCAGGTTGTACAGTAAAAGTACAATTACAGTGATATATACAGTATTCCCTTTAATAATAATAAAAGTACTAATGCTAGATGAATAGAGACAAACCTGTCTATTGTGGCTATGCTGAGAAAGAATATGACTGGCCATTGTAGAAAGGTTAACTTTTAAAGGAGGTTTCACTTGGAATAAAAAGTATGCGTTTAAACATAGGGTTTGGATGAAAACTCCTGGCTGTTAAGGAGAGGTGGCAGTTAGTAGAGGTTTGAAGGTACCCTTTAAGTCCATATCATGGAGTGATCAAGTTTTAATTTCTCATTTCAATACCAATATATTTTCGACAAAACAGGTGATGAGAATAAAGAAAACCATCATCTACATTGCCTTGATGTAACACCAAATTCTCAGAACTGACATTAAGAGAACCAATGACTGTCAGTAAGAAGAATTGTAACATTCTGAACCTGGGACTAAATGGGTTAAATACTAGAATATTTATTTTAAATCAGGTTTTTTTAAAATCCATAATTTTCGTTTACATTTTGCAGTACCAACAGCCTGTCATGTTTAACAAAACTGGAGAACCTGAAAGTGTTGAGACTTCATGACTCCATACAGGGTTTTTCCAATCCTGGTAAGAAATTAATGTCAGTATATTTGATGCTTGTGCATCTACCAGACTGTACATTTTTTTGTGTGTGTGTGGAAATGTATCCTTTATTGATACACATAAACCTATAGACAATACAATGCAACAAACTACAATTTTAACAGTTGCAAAATTGATACATTTATAAGCTATAGTAAATAAAAATAAAGAGAGATTTAATAATAATAATGACTTAACCAGAGTAGACCAAAGGAGGAGCATCATTACATGTAAATTTTGGTCGAAATTTTCTAGCCTGCACTTAGAGGAGATTTTGCTGACAAAATCTGTGATGAGAAGAGAATTATTGTGTAACTTATTTGTATAGATAAAATAGCGAGCAAAAAGCAAGGTGTAGTTAAATTGGAAAAAATCCCAAATAAATATTCTTGATTTGACGGTTTGAAAGAAGACTGATTACAGTTGTTGAACCATTGCACCACTTTTGACAAGAAATCTTTTGTAAAAAACAGTCTGAAAAGGTATGCTCTATTGAATCTTGTTCTCCACGATATAGGTACTCACTGTCGTTTTTGATAAGAAATCTATGGAGCTCTTTTTTAATTACAACTATTCGATGGAGAAATTTGAAGTGAAAATCCCTCAGCTTATTTTCTCTGGAAACCTGTTTAATGGATATAAAATTTTTTCCCATTGTTTTGCACACACTGGCATAGATTTACATGTACTCCATTTAGTTGGTCCAGTATGTGGACCATTATTAACTTGCTTGTTCAATAACCAATAGAAATCCTTTACCTTGGCAGTTTCAAAGTTTACCTTCGTTGAACTATCAAGATTGAAAATTGAGTGGTTTTGTAGACTGTACATAGAAATTTGAATTTAACAAAAGATGTGCATGTAAAAAAAAACCATAAATATCCTGGTTAACAAAATAACATACAGTTGTAGCCATTTTAAATGTAGAGAACTCACATGTGATTGTACAGGACTGTATTTATCTAAATTATCACTTTCACTACACTTTCAAATCATGATACATGTACATTGTACAGCACATGTAAAAGTTTAAGTACATGTATGTTGATTTCTTTGTTTTGAGCTGTGTTAATGTTTTTGTTTCTACAGTTTGTGTATCTGAAGAAAATTACAAGAAATCTGTTTGTGACCTTTTACCTAAACTCAAGACTCTTGATGGTGAGTTATGAGTGAACTGTGTACTTGTGTTACAGTCTTAACTACCAAAATATACTGTAAATTAATTTCATTTGTAACATGTTTGGGTGAGTGCTGATTGACAAGAGAAATCCTTTGTCTGGAAATCTAAGAACACGGTGAAGGTTCCTATTCACTATAATTGCTGTTTCTTTAGGTGAACGAGTCAGTGGAAAGGGTGCTGACTTGTATGAGATATGTTATGAACTTGATGCCCTGCTCACAGGTAATAATTAATTTTTACTGGTGCATGATCAGTACACCTACTATGTGTACCTTTGACCCACGAGGCTTCACTCACATTGGCATAGCCCTTTGCATGTACCTTAAATGCTAGGTGTTACTGTACTAATATCATGGATGACAAATTACTCCTTAATTTTGGCACAAAATTTCAGCATTAATTTACAATTTCACGCACGAAATTACAAAATTGCCATGGTAACATTTGATGCAGAATTTCTCAATAAAATAAACAGGTCAAAACCTCATGATTGTAAGCATAATTTCTCACCAACAACAGGTATATTAAAAAGATGATCAAATGGTATATTCCTAAGCCTAAGGAGGCCTTTTGCAACCCATGGGGTAACAAGGACAGATGGTGATGATGAATTTGCCTAAAAATTCCCTGAAAACAATTTTACTGCTATCTGTCTTCTTGTTCTCCTTATTTAGGTAGCATTTTCAGCATTGTAAACAAATAAAAATTCATTNTCACATTGTCATAGCCCTTTGCATGTACCTTAAATGCTAGGTGTTACTGTACTAATATCATGGATGACAAATTACTCCTTAATTTTGGCACAAAATTTCAGCATTAATTTACAATTTCACATGTGAAATTACAAAATTGCCATGGTAACATTTGATGCAGAATTTCTCAATAAAGATGATCAAATGGTATATTCCTAAGCCTAAGGAGGCCTTTTGCAGCCCATGGGTAACAATGACAGATGGTGATGATGAATTTGCCTAAAAATTCCCTGAAAACAATTTTACAGCTATCTCTCTTCTTGTTCTCCTTATTTAGGCAGCATTTTCAGCATTGTAAACAAATAAAAATTCATTGGTTTGTTTAAAGCCATGAAGGCTCTTTCACTTTTTAAACGATATTTTTTCTCATCTTGTCAGATAATGATTTACAATCTGAACATGGAGTTGCTCTCAAGACAATGCCGTGGAACACAGGTAAGAATTCAAACAAAGTGATTTCTTACTACACAAGCACCTTCCTAAGAGCTGCCGTGAATTGTAACAGAAAATCTGAGGCTGTATTCACATCTTCATCTGCCAATTTTAAGGTCTGTAGCATTCAATTTCAGGCAAACAGTCCTCCATCCACTTGAACTGAACATCATGATTTTTTCACCACCATTTTGGACGAACATGTTATCTTTAATGTCCACAATGTCTTCATATTAAGTGGGTTAGTTTGACAAAAAAAATAATGTACGGGCTTACAGCACACTGAGACTCAAAACTGTCTGTAACAAGCATGTGTCCATATAAGGCAGCTGGCTGAGTGTTAACTGTCAGGTTCATCTGTAACATAATGTACCTGTTCTGTAATGCTATTAGTTTCATGCTATTGGGGTGAAGTTTCTTTGCTTTATAATTTGTGTTAATCAGATATAAGGGGTCCCTCTTTGCATACATGAAGCAATGCTCCAGTACAGTGTATTTTCTCATATTTTGAACCAGGAAAAGTTGTACTTGTAGGTAATGGTTGATGTTACTTGTAATCCTACAGAAAAGCTGCTGTCATCTAACACTTTAGTACAGGATAGGAGTGTAGAGGAAGCAGAGAAGGGATTTAGAGGTAAGCTGTGTTTGCAGCGAGTACTCCATCTTTGTACAGTGTATGTGCAGAAATTGATCCTTTTTACCTATGAATTGATTCATAAAATTTGACTTAAGCAAGCTCGTTCAAGAGTTGATTATTTCAAGTTTGTAAACGCTAAGTAATGTAGATTGTTGTCAAGGTAGCATAATAATGTCATGTGGACGGTCATTTATTAGAACAACTTTGTCATTGCACTTGCCCTGACTGGTCAATGAAATCTATTCATGTACAGCAAATGTTGTGACAATTGTTTGTTAGTCACTATCTGCGATACCACGCACGCTTTGATCGGTCAAAAACCACTAGCCTGCTTACCAAGTGTTCCTGTATGGAAGAAGGGTTTCTCCGCATTCTGGCTCTGCCTGGTCAGAGACAGAGGTGACAGAAGTTGTCTAGGCAGGCTATTACCTGTAGAGGCAAAATTGTCCATAGTATTATAAGCAGGTGTCAGCCAAATTATGAATACACATTTAAAGAAAATACACACACCCTTAAATTTGGAAGACATGTTTCGGAAAATAATGTTTAATTTTTGTGATNTGGTAGCTTTAATGTCCACAATGTCTTCATATTAAGTGGGTTAGTTTGACAAAAAAATTAATGTATGGGCTTACAGCACACCAAGACTCAAAGCTGTCTGTAACAAGCAGGTGTCCATATAAGGCAGCTGGCTGAGTGTTAACTGTCAGGTTCATCTGTAACATAATGTACCTGTTCTCTAATGCTATTAGTTTCATGCTATTGGAGTGAAGTTTCTTTGCTTTATAATTTGTGTTAATCAGATATAAGGGGTTCCTCTTTGCATGCATGAAGCAATGCTCTGGTACAGTGTATTTTCTCATATTTTGAACTAGAAAAAGTTGCACTTGTAGCTAATGGTTGATGTTATTTGTAATCCTACAGAAAAGCTGCTGTCCTCTAACACTTTGGTAGAGGATAGGAGCGTAGAGGAAGCAGAGAAGGGATTTAGAGGTAAGCTGTGTTTGCAGCGAGTTCTCCATCTTTGTACACTGTATGTGCAGAAATTGATCCTATTTACCTATGAATTGATTCATAAAATTTGACTTAAGCAAGCTCGTTCAAGAGTTGATTATTTCAAGTTTGTAAACGCTAAGTAATGTAGATTGTTGTCAAGGTAGCATAATAATGTCATGTGGACGGTCATTTATTAGAACAACTTTGTCATTGCACTTGCCCTGACTGGTCAATGAAATCTATTCATGTACAGCAAATGTTGTGACAATTGTTTGTTAGTCACTATCTGCGATACCACGCACGCTTTGATCGGTCAAAAACCACTAGCCTGCTTACCAAGTGTTCCTGTATGGAAGAAGGGTTTCTCCGCATTCTGGCTCTGCCTGGTCAGAGACAGAGGTGACAGAAGTTGTCTAGGCAGGCTATTACCTGTAGAGGCAAAATTGTCCATAGTATTATAAGCAGGTGTCAGCCAAATTATGAATACACATTTAAAGAAAATACACACACCCTTAAATTTGGAAGACATGTTTCGGAAAATAATGTTTAATTTTTGTGATAAAAACACAATATCTGAATTTTGTGAATGGCATTATATTAATGTACACATGCGNTACCTGTTTATCACCACTTGCTGAATTTTTTCCTTCCTCCAACAGGTCATATTCCAGTGTCTGGTCCATCTTAATCTGACAGTAATATTCCAAATTCACACTGATGCCAATGACTTCATTGTCTGCTTGCTCCAGGTGCCACATGCGGTGGATAGACACTGGGGCCCAAAAGGAAAAGAAGAGAAACTCTTAGCCTTGAGTTTTAGTTAACCTCTCTTTCCGGTTCCTTCGTCTGTGTCTATCCATTGTCTCTAAAGGAGTCATGTTCAGTATTGATCCCTTCATTTCTTTGGCAAAAATTACAAGAGCACAAAGTGATTGTCCTTAAGACTTCTATGACAAGACTTTAACTCGGACAGCAAGACTGCAATGAGTGACAAGTTGAATCACTTGACAGTAAAATTCGATTTTTGAGCACCTTAAAAACATTTCCTCTCTCCATCCCCCAGCAATCAGCAATGCTGATTTTTTCTATTTTCAAGACTGCACAGACTACACCACCTACACAAGATTGAATTGGGGAGTGGGGGGTAAGAGAGAATTAACTCTAGATGTAAATGAAATAGATTAAGAGGTAAAATATCAAAAAGCATCATAATTTTCTTAGTGTATCAGCTACTTTTGTAACTCATTGTCTGTAGTCTATTTGTCTAAACTTTAACAATATCTCTTATATTTCCAAGCTCCAAGCTCAAGTTTTGCCTAAGGTGGTGTTTATAGCAGCCACTTTTTCACAACAAAGTGAGTCTATCTCACTTTCATTCAATGCAATTCTCACCATGATACAATGGCTACAAGTTGTTCTTTGTTCAGTTGTCACATTTTGATCTGAAACCAGAAATTGTACCATTCCAAGCCGAGCAAAATTCTACTATTTCTGACCTGAAAGCAATGGCTTACCATTGCTGCTGACTTCACTATGATGTCGCAGTGACTAGGCGTATCATTTTCAGCACATAAAATTTGATATCAACCAATGGTTTTAGTGCTTTTCAACTTTCATTGTGCAAATTTTCAACCCATTTATATCGAAAAGTTAATTTGAAAATTATTTCTATTTCTAATCCTTTACCATTGGTCAACTGTTGACAATTCAGGAGATCCCAAGTGCAGTGCTGTGCAAAAATAGTGCATACAAACAATAATCATTACAATATGAAGCTTTATTCTTGTGATATTTAGCCAATATCTCGGTGATATATCATACATATAAAAGGATGCATTACAAAGGTAATTTCAAAGAGATTATTAGCACTTCCCTGTGATATCTTGCTGAAATGTTGTTCTTACAAAATATCATTGTAGCGATATCTCGAAGAACGTTGGACGGATTCAACATGATATCTTACTTAAGGATAATATCACCATAAGCTATGTCTCATACAGTGAGAGCCACATCATCACGATACATTGTTCTAGCAAATAACACCACAGGGACATATCATAGAGCAAGATAAAACTCTCTTCACTCTAAAATTAAGAAAGGGGCACTGGGTTGGTTAGCACTGTAATCTAAGCTTAATCTAAGGTTAATCTAAGTTACTATATAACAATGATTATCGCAGGACTGCAGAAATAATATTTGAAGACACATATATAAAGTGACAGAGTATTCCAAAGAGAGTTTTTCATTCTACAAAACAAATTAAGAAATGAAATTTTAAGACCTGAGTTAGATATCTTACACTATTGTTGAACAACCCAAGTATAGCAAAACTAGTGACTTACGTTGTTGCTCAATTCAAAGCCAAGCTGAACAAAATGATCTAGCTACTGCTAAGCCACAGTACAGTGGTATTTCATGGGGCAAAAATGATATTTAATTATATCGCTAAGCTGCATTGATATTTGTTGAGTAAAAATGATATCTATGTAACACTCGGTGCAAACGATAAATTGTGCAGGACACCGCGAAATTTTGCAACAGCTGCAACAAAAGCTCTGTGATGACTTGCACAATATATCACTTCAAGCAAAATATTATTCAAATATTGCCAATATTTGCCACTACTCGTTTTTTATCATAGTATACAATAATAATAATAATTATAATTCTCAAGGAGTGGTTTAATTTGTTCCTGTAGATTTTAGACAGCACTTAATTTCAAGAATATGGATAGGAGAGGTATTACTTGCATGTACAAATTATTTGTTCTTATGTTTACATGAATTTTTAAGTAGACCCTTTGATAACCAAGACTTCCTAAACTGATATATTTCCCTTTAATTTTTGAGTGGAAAACATGTGTCATAAACTTCAGGAAATTTATTAAAGAAACTATTGTTGTTTGGAACATTATACCCAGGAAATTGACACATACTTTCAAGTTGTTAGAGGGTCTTGGAGAAACTTCAAGTTGTCGGCTTCGTTCTCATTGAACAAATATGGTATATTTATTTGTCTCAGCAGGTATATTAGCAGAGCAAATAGAAAAATATAATTACAGGTAAATGATCTCATATGTCAGAAAATAATAAGCCACCTATTTGGTTTTTGAAGTCAAAGTAGTTAGTGAAAATATTATTGATACAGGTTGCTGTGTGTGAGATTATCCTGGGTGGTACCGAAATCAACAGTGGAAACATAAGAGTAAAACCCATCCAAAAGTTCTACAGAGGCATTATGATTTTGGTGATTTAATAAATTCAAATTATAATAATCACCCATTAAAAAACATATCTTATTTCTCCCTTCAGGCTCTGGCTAAAACTTAGCCTGCGTAGCACGAATTCAGTAATTTTTTAAGCATTGAGCGCGAGCACAAAGCGGCAAAGCTACGAAAAGGAGCGGCGAAGCTCCCAGATTTAGTAGTTTCACTCGTGTTTGCTTGCGGTTAGCTTTTGTTTGTTACGGACAGCATTATATTGCATATGGCCCTGTCCGACAAATAAAAGCTAACCCACAAGCAAATATAAGTGAAACTAACCGCAAGCAAACAGTGCATTCGGCATTCGGCGTTCTGCAAATTACCCCTGCCGCACTGAGCGTGTCCACAAAAATACTAATTAACATTTTGGTTTGGCAGTCTCTAAATTATACCCACAATAGCATTTTTCCCATGAGGTCTTATGATCTCGATGTAAATAGTGTTTTCATCACCTCATCAACATGAGTACTTTTATCGTCACGGTTTTCGAAATCAAGATCATTTGACACGTACAATCCAACACCCCGCCTGATCAATATGAGGTTCATGTAAACAAAATCGTACAAAGTTGGATTATCAGTCATGATCGAAATGAAAAGGGCATTTCAGAGCTCATAAAACAACAATGCAAACTCCTCATCGCCTAAACGACTAAATGATAATTAAAAGTAATTGGTTTTTTTTACGGCTTCCGCCGAACATTCGAGCGATAATGGCAAACATAAAGCAGTATGAAGTTGCCAAAAAACTGATAAGATTGTAACAATTAGGATAGAGTTAACAGGAGCTTATCAAGACTCTCTGAAGCGGGCTTAGCGAGAGAACGATGAATTTGATGTTATAGCACAGGCTTTTTACGAGGTTTGACATTAACTTTCTCGAGAATGCTTCAGAGTTTAATCGCGATGTCACTTATAGAGAAATGAACTAAAATAAGATGTTTCAAATAGTATTCAAAATGTTGCCGCGCTATTACGAGCACGAGTGGGTTTCTAGTAAATAATTTTGCATTTAATACTCGAGCTTTCAGTAGAATCCGTCTTTTTTAAAAAATAGCTAATATAAAAGGAGAAAAAAATATCTGGACTCACGGCTAGGTCTATCCTCAACCATCAGTCTATCCAGGACAAAATATGTCACCTTTCCTCGCATCTCTCCATCCACGCGCACGGCGCGCCTGATGCTCGAGTTCTGGTTCTCCAAATTCAACTGTTTTTCCGAGACAAGCTTTGCCTTCGCTTCTGTGATAAACCAAGTTTCATCGTCACCTTCACACATTTTATCAATCCGGATGCCATTTCGACGGCGATGACTCTCGAGGTCTCGATCGAGGTGTTCCATTTTACCCGTGCGTGCGAGTTCATGTTCCGTTACGGTTATTAAGTATGTTGTCACATTGTGTCCAACTGGCCCAAATACGGGAGCTTACAACACGACGCCGCCGAGTGAATTTACCTTCGAATCTCGCAATTGCTTAGATCAGTTCAGTGCGCGTATGGCTCTAAAAACGTGCTCAGGCTGAATATGCAATTATTCCAAACGGAGATACGAAAAATTAACCGTCGTCGTTCGCATTGTTAACGTTAGGGAGCTTAAGAAAACCACGACGCACAACGGCAACTTCACTAAACAAAAGGTTTGATGAGGGGAACAATGACTGTGCACGTGCATTATAATTCATGGTACATTTCTTTGCCGTCCTCTGCAAAACAACAACGTGAAATGACCAAATTCTGCGTTGTCAGGAGAACGTGAACCACGACAGCTAATTTTTTAAATTTTTTATTTCGAATTTATCGTTGTGTCCTAGATTCAGTTTCGTTATAGCTTTGACAGTGATAAACAAAGTAAATGACTCTAGAGTACCACGAGATTCGTAGGTAAAATATAAACTCATTTTTTAATCGACGTTGTCCTCGGCGTCGTCGTCGTGGTTTCTTAACCTCCCTGTTGTTTTACAGAGGACGGTAGACTACGAGTAGTCCCTCTTTCGCTTAGTCCGTCCAGGATTTCGCGCGGTCATTTTTTTCTCGCGGTTTTCTTTCGGGCCACGTAACACGGACTAAGCGAAAGAGGGACTACTCGTAGTCTAAGAGGACGGCTAAGAAATGTATAAACTTTGATAACGTACGTGCACAGCCATTGTTTTGCTCACTAAACCTTGGTGGCGTTCTCGTTGCCGTCGTCGTCGTGTTTTACTTAAGCCCCTTGACATCTGAAGTGGACGATTTTGATCAGGAACGCATTTCGTTTACTTAACGCACGTTTCCTAATATTCTAACCTTAATAGTACTCCGTCCTTCGGAGTACTGAAAATAAATCGTTACAAATTAACGACCTTACTCGGTGAATTTTTGTAAATTTATAGAAATGACAACTTTGAAATGCAGTCGTGGAAAGCTTCTCGCTGTGTACACGTCGTATTCGTAAGTACATTTTGTCAAGTGACTCAGTTGCAGTACTTTCTCCTGGACAGCTTTTCTTTGCAAGCTGACTAAGTGAAGAACATGCACGCAAACAAGGAAGTATTTACTGCAAATTTACGGCGGTCGAGGTAAACACAAAGATTCTTGTGCTTGTTTGAAATAAGTCGTCCAAACTTTTTTATAAGCCATCTTTGTGCTTGTCTTGGAAGGTCTAAAAAAATACAAAGACCAATTACTTCTGTTCTTAGTGAAATCTATTACACAAGAATGCTACGATTTACTCAAGCACGTTCTTCGATCAAGTCATTTTGTTCACAATAAAACAAAGGAAACAAAGCCACACGGACGATATAAACGCAATCGAACATTAACATAGTTTGATTAAGTATACAGATATCTGTCAGTGTCGGTCTACTAGACATTTTCTCTTTATTTTCTTGGTATAGCCTAGTTTTCTTTCGCGATTATTTCAGTGCATCTATTAATTTATAATACAAAGTCTTGCAACGACGAGTCCCACAGTTTTGCCAATGGTCGACTCCGTGTCACATCCGTTGTAGCGTTCGAATTTTAATACGTGAACTCAAGCGGAGCAATTGGTCATGAATTTTAAAAGTATATATATATGTCTGTTAGCAGCGCTCCACCATTAAGCACAAAATCGTTTTCTTTAACAGCTAGCTCACTAAGAAATTAATTTTCATTTCGGAGGAACCTAAATAATTTCGATCGATCGAATGAGGGAAAAAAGCACAAGGAAGTAGATAAGCGAACAGTAGCGAAAAATTAAAAACAAAAAACAAAAAAAAAAAACAGTTCTAAGACTGCTTTGTTTTGCTGACTCGAAAATACCTGAAATCCGACGAAAATGAACAAAGCGAAAACTGTAAACAAGGTTCATCGGCTTTAAGATTTCATTCGTAGAAGGAAGAACTGTCGTGGTGAACGTTTGAAACCAAAAAGAAATCCAAACAACGCAACATGAAAAGGGCTTTGATAACGATCTGCATCATTCTGTTACTGGTCGGGACTTCAATGTCCTGGCGAAGAAGACGAAGACGGCGGAGGCGCAGTTGCAGCGCTAGAAACTGTCAAGTGGGTAGCTGGACAAGTTGGAGTTCTTGTTCATATCGGTGCGGTACGAGCGGCACACAGTCACGAACGCGGCGACAGGTACAGGCCGCGTCGTGCGGTGGCTCTTGTCCTTACCGCATGCGTGAAACGCGAGCCTGTAACAGAAATAATTGTCGAAACGGTGGCACACCGCGCAGTAGTGGATGTAGCTGTAGATCTGGATTCCGTGGCACTTGTTGTGAATATGGTGAGTTCAGGCTAAGAAGTATTTGTTTAACCTCGTAAAGTGTCAAAATTAGCTAATAGTCCTAATACGATCTCACGAATTCAATAGACTGAATCGAAAGAGAAAAGATCAGTTTAGTTGCCAATACAATGCCTGATATTATTCGAAGTTTTAGAAGTATTTCAGTGTCAGAATGCAATCCGCGTAGATCAACGTGTATATAAAGGAGCTTAGCAAATACTAACCAAAGCTACAACAATTGCATCCTTACAATATATGTAATATTTACGGTTATCGAGACTCGTCAGATGCTAATTCCCACTTCGCTTTCCCCAGTAGCGCTAGATATGCGTTAGAACAGCGCTGTGATTGGTCAATTGGTAACACTTAAGTTTGAAGTGGAATATGGTCGCTTAAAATATGTTAGCCTAGAAAAAATCTAAATGATAAACTATTTTATTTTCTCGTCATTAAAATCCCTTTAGCTCTTAAAAACAACACCTACTTGTACGTGTATTAATTAAAGCAGCACATTCTTCTTACACCTTATTATGGAGGTCATTGATTGACTGACTGACTGATTGATAGACTAGGTAAAGAATTAACGGGATACAGGATATTCAGGGGAAATTTTAAAGAAAATACACACACCCTTAAATTTGGAAGACATGTTTCGGAAAATAATGTTTAATTTTTGTGATAAAAACACAATATCTGAATTTTGTGAATGGCATTATATTAATGTACACATGCGCAACTCACTTAGGGTCCACCACTGACTAGAGAAAAAGAAATACAGAAAGTGCACTCTGTTGCTTAAATTCATTAGAACTTTCTCTAGTTTATAACGGACAGTTCTAATGAGAGCATGGCATATTTCTTGCATTGTATGACTATGAGTTTTAGCATACTTGAGTAATACTTTGTAAAACCACTTTTGTAATGAGTGACAATGACAAGAACATTACATGATTCTTACATTGTATAAGTTATAGTCTACGTGGATAATTCATGGATAAAACTACTTTTTATTCATCGTGGATACAACTACTTTTATGATCAGCGGCAATAATATTGTAATGACAATCTATTAAAAGAAAGAGAAGGTTAAGTGTAGCAGATTTTGAATTATATTTTTGCAAGTGTTTTTCAATTGTAATTTTATATTCTGAACTTTTAACCATGCACAATTGAACATGATATGAATTCTGAATAGTTGCAGTAATTAATTAATTAATTGTCACTAATTAATTGATTATTATGCCATTTTGCAATACTGACCTTTTCGCATAGTGCCCAGTGTCCAAGTGTATCGTCACTTCATTAATCTCAGTGGATAGTGTTATGCGAATCGAAGTAGATTTCATGGTTGCTTTTTCCCTCGAGATTCTTGAATTTTACGATAGCAAATACTTGAAGAGCACTTAACGGAAATAAGATGGCATCATGAGGATTGACAATAACACCGTTTGTCATTTTTCGAAGAGCACTTGCACAGAATAGTACACTCCTTTACCATCGCACCTCACAACCATTCACCCAGAATATCAAGATATTCATAGGTTCCGCCACTTAGCATGCACAAAGAGAGTATCTTTCTTCCGGTGATGGTTGTCGTAACCAGCCCTTAGCTATCTCTCGTCAATCTTCCCGCTCTTTCTGTTCGCTCTTTTCCTGTACTTTGCTTGTTGGCCATAACACCTCGGCCCTAAAGTCCTGTAATTTGTGTGTTTTCAGATGTGATGTTGCAGTGTAAGAAGATCAACGAGGATGCCGATAAGGCGATCAATAATGCCAAAGAAGCCCTGTGGAACTAGTGACTATAATAGTTACTCAGCTAGTTGTTTCGGCCGGCTTAAGGCTTCAGACCGTTGCGTTTCGTTATTCACTGCTGAAACAAGAACTGCTCACGTTTCTGAAGTGCAACAAGAGCTTTGCTTTGTTTCGGAAGTCGCTTGAGTTTCCCACCGTTGGGTTTGTGTCCTGCACATTGCATGACACAACAAAGGCAGTCCCTTTGTTACCCGAAACTGAAGAAAGACGCTGCAGCGAAATTCTTTTGAGAACTTCAATCTGTTTTGACGTTGCGTTCACGTGTTGTGAAGATGTAAAAATAACCAAGAAAGGCTTCCCCAAAGAGTGGACTTCGTCATTCATGTGAATGTACAGCATTGGAATAGACATGTTATTCTGTCTACTCGCAAGATGAACGTCGAATTTCTCGTTGCTGTTTATGCTCAGTTCCTGTCATACTCAAGAAAGTTTAATCATTCGTCAGTTCTTTTGTTTTCAGAGGTGATCAGATCCTTCGTTTTACAACCTGAGCACTTGAATTTAATGGTGAAGAGAACTTGAAATCGATCCCAGCTCTTGATCAAAGGGTTGAGCTGCATTAAACACTGATTTCAGCGTTCAAATTCTCCCTGCTTCCTGTAGTAGTTTTCTTAGAGTACCAGTTAAGAGAATATATTGTAGATCAAAAGCATAAGTTGCCATATTGTATGCCATATTGTATGCCAGACTTTGTATAGGCGATGTTAAATGAAAGTAGTGTAAATGTTGAGTCAGTAATACTATGGAGAAAGTTCTCCGCACTTTTTGAATGTTCCGTTTAGGTAAATGTTGCGTATACTTCACCCAGCGGCTGTGCCTTTGCTGACGTAGCAGCTATTTTGAATTTCAAAAGCGCGATCAGTCGGTGCGAAGTCTGGAACTAAAAAATTCCGAGGCTCGGGGAGCCAAAACTTTCAGGAAATTTTGGTTCGGAGGAAAATGGTAAACGTTTTTCCCCGGAAAAATGGGCACTTTGAGATCTTAGGTAGAAGTCAGTTACTTTTCTTTCAGAAATTTTTCTGTGGGACGAACCAAAAAAGCGTTTACCGTTTTCTTCCGAGCGGAAATTTCTGGTAGTTAAGACTGAACTCAGAAAATTCAGCAATTCTCGAACACACGATCGCCTGCAGAGAGCGATACACACTGAATGAGCATTTTTTTTTAATTACAATGGCCTCGACAAAGAAACTGAGATAATTAACGCTGGAAAGATTTCCAGCTTGATGCTGTTAAAGATGTTGCTATATTTTGTAACCACAAATAGCTGCCAGACGCTAGTCTTGCCAGTACTCCGAGCTCTTTTTTCCATTGACAGCGCGCGCAGAGACGTTTTTGAAAATGATAACGCGTAATGCAAACGCGCGCGAGACGCATTCACGTGCGCGTGAACTGTTCAACGACTTTTCCGTCACAATCGACTGCGAAAGGCAAGTCTTAAAAGTCGTCTAGCCGCCGCTATTTTGAAGAAACAAAATGGATATTCTACCAGGTGAGGTCATAGTACAGATACTATCTTATCTCCATCCGATATACGAAGACCTTCCACGATATTGCACGATATGTCGAAGGTGGCAGCGTATCATTCAAAATACCGGACTTTTGTGGAAACACATCCACTTACAGGACGATCGAGACGCGCGACAGGACTTCGAGGATGATTATGCGAGTATATTGTGCCTGTGTTTTAAAAGATATGGTCATTT